CAAGAATTAGTGGAAGAGAATTGCCAGAATTGAAGATCATGGATTTTAAGGCCCACTAGTATCTAGCACCAGTGAATGGAAAAAAAAAAACCACTGAAAGATACATTATCATGACAGAGTGTTAAAGATTAAATGATAATTCTAAAAGCTCCATGACAAAAAAGCTGGTACTTACAAATGATCTGAACTCAGAATAGTGAAACACATGTTAAACATTATTGGTGCTGGAAGACAGTGGAGAATTGTCTTCAATATTTTTGTTAAAAATTATTTCCTGCTGAGAATTTTATACCCAGTTGAACTATTATGTGTGAAGTTAGAATATATAGACTTAAAAAAAAAAGATACAATCAGAAAGTTTCTCCTAAACTGTCAAAAAACTGTCTCTTAAATTGTCACATGAAGAAACATGACAACTAAATAGGATATTCTGGATGGCATTGTAGAACAGAAGGACATTCAGTAACAAGAATATCTGAAAAAGATACAGGCTTTTGTTAATAATATAGTAGCCCCCCTTCTTTTATGTATATATGTATGTATGTATTTTGAAAGAGACAGATTGTGAGTAGGGGAGGGACAGAGAGAAAGGGAGAATCTGATGCAGGCTCTGCTGTCTGCATAGAACCCAACTCAGGGCTCGAATCCACAAACCATGAGATCATGACCCGAGCTGAAGTCAAGAGTCAGAAGCTTAACCAACTGAGCCACACAGGCACCCTGTCCCCCCTCTTATTTGAGATTTTGCTCTTCACTGTCAATTACCTGCGTCAACTGTGGTCTGGAAGCAGGTGATCCTCCTCCTGCCATATTGTCAGAAGGTCAGTAGTAGCTTGACACTATGTCCTAATGCCTACATCGTTCACCTCACTTCATCACGTGGACCTTTTATCATCTCACATATCACAAGAAGAAGAAGGGTGGGTACAGTACAATAAGGTATTGTGAAAGAGAGAACACATTGGTATAACTGTTATTATGGTATGTTAGAATTGTTCTATTTTATTGTTAAGTTTTTAATCTCTTACTATGCCCAATTCATAAGTTGAACTTTATCATAGGTATGTATTTATAGGAAAAACCATAGTATATATAGGATGTGGTATTATCCACAGTTTCAGGCATCACTGGGGGTCTTGGAATGTATCCCTGGTGGAAAAGAGGGGACTACTGTAATGTACCAGTATTCATTGATGAATTGTGACAAATATAAGATGTTAGGAATAGGAGAAACTGACTTGGAGTATAGGGATCACCCTGTATTATCTTCACATTTTTTTTGGTAAGTCTAAAATAAAAAATTTATATACAAAAATGTTTACAAAAATGTGTCTTCATGTATCCATTGTTGGAAAGCTTCTGGTGGGTGTGCTTCCTAATGAGAGACTAGAACAAGATCTAGAAAAGAAGAGCTTCAACATTGGAGAGAGAGGCCAAGGGAATTCTCATGGTTAGGTTCTAGAATAATAGCTGTGCAGCAGAGTAGCCATTCCAAGGAGGAGCAGGATAAAAGCTGGAGGGCTCAAGGGAAGTAATCTCTAAGGGGGAAAAAAAAGAATGGAACACATTCATGGGATTGATTGTGTGGAAAATTGTATCGAGAGACTGTTAGAAAATGGGGGAAATTTTAAAAAGAAAACTATGGAAATGGAAGAAAAAGGCAGTTTTAACTACAGGAAAAGAAAAATGTTGACCAAGAAGGGAAAGGTAATTATACCATACTATTTGCTTCAGTAGTGAATATTATATTTATCTAACCACAGTAATTGTTGTATAATAAAGAATATGAAAAGCCATCATCCCTGGTTTCTGCTGGGGAGAATCTAAATCCTTGGAATTTCCTGAATGATAGGATTGTCTTTGTTATTCACAATTGGCCCTGATACTTTATGCCAATGAGATGACTCATGGTAGGACCTAGATAGCTTCAAGATGGGGCTGGTCATGCCAGAAAGACCAATCATTGATTAGAAGATTGGGGATTTGAGTCATTTGATGATATCAGCTCAACCTTCCAACCTCTGGGAAGGGAAGGGGGGGGGTGGAAGTTGAGTTCAGTGACATGGTCCGTGATTCGGTCAACCATGCCTTTGTAATGAAACCCAATAAAAACTCTGGACACTGAAGTTTGATGTAGCTTCCTAACTGGTGAACACATTGATGTGCTGTGAGGGTAAAATGCCCTGATTCAGGCAAGGCATGGAAGCTCTACATTCAGGACCCTCCTAGACCTCACCCCATGTGGCTATGCATTTGGTTCGTTCTGATTTATTTAAAAACTGTAATTACAAGTTGTGAAGTTGTCCTGAGTTCTGTGACTTGTTTAGTGAATTACTGAACCTGAGGGGTTGTGGGAACCCTTAATTTTATAGTCAGTTAGTTAGAGTATGGATGCCTGTTGGGATGTCTAAACTTGTGGCTGATGCCTAAAGTGTGGGCAGCTTTGCTAGGGCCCATGTCCTCTGGTTTATGTCAGAATTGAGGTGCATTATTATAATAATGTACACACTGACTATTGCCAGAACCTTATGATATAACTTCATTAGAAGGAGGGGGACAACAAAGGGGAATGGGAGTTCTCATCAACTGTAATAAGTAATATAAAAATTAATGGATCAGGAGATAACAGTGTGAGCACAGGATTTAGAACAAGGATGATAACATAAGGAAAACCAACTGAAACGATGAAAATGGTTACTTCTGGAGCTGGAGCAGAATGGGGTGCTATGATGCAGAAGGGTGGGGTGAGGTAATGCGGTTTTTCACTTTAAACCTTTTGTAACTCTTTTCTTTCTCAAACCAAGTTCATGTATTGCTTCAATCTACATACAATTATGTAAAAAAGAAGAGGCTTGACTGCAGGCTCAGTAGTTCATCAGGAAACACTCGGACATTGATTGAAATGTGTGTGCACAGGGGTGCATTGGGGGGTACACTTAGGAATAACCTCTGTACGGAAGCACCAGAAGCAGAATAGGACAGGCAGATGTGCAACTGTGACGCAAGTGTAGCAGAGGTCACAGCTGATCCCATGGGAATTTCTGAACCTTGCGTAGCCCTTCAGAGATGCCTAAGTGAAGTAAAGGAGTCAGACCTTTGTCCCCAAGTGTGGACCAGTCATTAGACATACTGCCCAGGGGAGGGGCTATAACCTTGGGCAAGGCAGCTCTCTTTGTCTGAGGACAGTTCTTGGTTGGTACTCAGCAGATAACACTCCTAGTGGGGGGTTGACTGAGAACCTTTGTGCTGGAAGGGGGGTATGTGGTTGGTGCTCTAACAGTATCTACTATAAACTCCAAAACCAGAGACTCTGGAAAAGGAAGACTTGATATCCATTAGGCAAATTTTATAATCTCTAGTCCTTCCAATATTCTGGGCTTTCCAGGACTTTTAAAGTATGATAGGGCCAGCTGGGTGGCTCAGTTGGTTAAGGGTCCGGCTTCGGCTCAGGTCATGATCTCATGGTTTGTGAGTTCGAGCCCTGCATCAGGCTCTCTGCTGTCAGCACAGAGCCTGCTTCAGATCCTCTGTCCCCCTCTCTCACTGCCCCTCCCCCCCAAATAAATAAACATTAAAAAAGAGTAAAGTATGATAGATATGCCGGTTTGATAAGTGTGGGGTTGGCAATTTAAAAGCACACATACACTTGTGCACGCACATACACATGCGCTCCACTGTCATCTGTATTCTTTTGAAATATGTATATTTCAGCTAAAAATCTATCCCTCCCCTGCTTGTGCAAGAGCATGTTCTCTCTCTCACTAAAAAATAAATAAACATTTAGGGGAGCCTGGGTGACCCAGTTGGTTAAGTGTCTAACTTCGGCTCAGGTTATGATCTCACAAGTTAGTGAGTTTGAGCTCCATATCGGGCTCTGTGCTGACAGCACAGAGCCCGCTTTGGATCCTCTGTCTCCCTCTCTCTCTGCCCCTCCCCCCCCCCATTCTCTCCCTCTTTCTCAAAATAAATAAACATTAAAATAAATAGACAAACATACAAAAAAAAGAAAAAAAAAAGAAAAGAAAACCAATTGAGGCACATCCCTAACACTTTGGAGTAGATGGCAATGCTCTGAATTTGTAACAAACATCATTCCAGTATTTCAGAGAGAAGATACCATGATGAAGAGAAATATACTTTCCCATAGAAGAAATCAAATTTTTGGTTGCCCATAATTTTGAAAAATTGAGTTTATTAAGGTGTAACAGGGATAGTAATATGTGCTTAAGTATACATTTTTGAAGTGAATTTTTACATACTCAGGTACCCAAATCAAAATACAGGATATATCCTCCACCCTAGAGGTCCCTTCATGCCCCTTTCTTGTCATCTACCCCCTTACCCAGATGTGACAATATTCTGACTTTCGTCATCACAGATTAGTTTTATCTTTTTTTTTTTTTAAACCTTAATAAATGGAATCACAGCAGTTTGTATACTTTTATGTCAGACTTTTTTCACTTAACATAATATGTGGGAGGTTTGTGCATGTTTCGTGTAAATCAATAGTTCTTTTTTATTGCTATTTAGTATCCCATTATATGAACATACCTCGGTTTACTTCCTTACTCTCTTGTAGATCAGTAGTTGGGTATGTTTACCTGTTATGCATAAATAAAGAGATCATGGGCATTCTTTTGGCAGACACGATGCATTCATACCTCTTGGGAATTGCTAGGTCATAGGGCAGGCACATGTTTAGTTCTGGACATAATGCCAAATACTTTTTTTCTCAGAATGATTGTATCAGTTTCCAGTGCCACCAACAATATGTGAAAGTTCCAGCTGCTGCACAACCATGTCAATACTTGGTATTGCAGTCTTTCAAATTTTAGCCATTGTGGTGGGTATTCAGTCTTAAATTTGAACCACTGGTGTGGCTGCATCTTTTACATCAAAGTATTACACAGGTCTTCTTGTGTATAAGTAACTGATGGGTCCTCACGATGATTGGTTCTTCGTTGTACTTCTTCACCTAAACTGTTTTTTTCCTTTCTCAGTTGTCACAGGTAGTACTGATGGAATTGGGAAGTCATATGCAGAAGAGGTAGGTAATTTTCAAGACCTTTCTTTTTGGCTTAAAAATATAAGAACAAATATGGGATGGTCTCTTACAGTAGTTTTGATGTTTGAAGTTAAAAACAAATATAATGTTGCATAGTACAATACATATACTTTGTAATCAGAAACACCATGTTTGCTTAAGCAAAGACAGTTTAAAGTAAATTTTTGTGCAAAAGTGACTATAAAACTTTCTATCCCAGTATGTTGGAAAAAATGTAGTGTAATTTTATTTTATATTGCATGATTATGGACAGTCCTTAGTTTTATTTGTTTATTTTTTTTTAAATGTTTATTCATTTATTTTGAGAGAAAAAGAGCATTGGGGAGGGCAAAGGGAGAGGGGGAGAGAGAGAATCCCAAGCAGGCTCTGCCTTGTGAGTGCAGAGCCGGATGTGGGGCTTGAACTCACAAACTGTGTCATCACGACCTGAGCTGAAATCAAGAGTCAGTCGCTTAACTGACTGAGCCACCCAGGTGCCCTGGACAGTCCTTAGTTTTAAAGTCAGTTGTTTTGAACTATTTTCCAATAGGTGGATTTACTATTATTAGAGTAGTTTTATTTCTAGGCTAGTCCACGGCATCATTTTTTTTTGTTTAAGTTTATTCATTTTGAGAGGCAGAGCATTAGCAGGGGAGTGTCAGAGAGAGAGAGGGAGAGGGAGACACAGAATCCAAAGCAGGCTCCAGGCTCCGAGCTGTCAGCACAGAGCCCAACGTGGGGCTCAAACTCATGAACTGAGAGATCATGACCTGAGCCAAAGTCTGATGCTCAACCAACTGAGCCACCCAGGTGCCCCCATGGCATCATTTTTTAATAAGGACTGTAATTGACAGAAAGATACTGACAGATATAGGCAAAGAGTTCTCAAGTTCTCTTGAATGTCATGAAAGGATAGGGACCATGATAGTATGAGGACGACTGTACAAAGCAGGAGCGTTGATAGTACTCTTTTAAGACAAGCTTCCCTGCCTTCTAGTTCCACTAAGGCACCCAAAGCTAATGATATGGCCCAATTGTGATGACGATCCTGGCAGATCCACTGGATTTCTCATTTGTCATTCCGAAAGAGGTTTTTTTTTTTTTTTGTTTTGTTTTTTTTCCAATCTCCTTTTGTTGTCCCAGGTTTTTATTTTGAGTGTCAAAACTCCAGGAAGGTTGCAAGAAGAATACAACAAATACCCTGTACCTTTCACCTGCATTCACCAGTTATTAACATTTTGTCACATTTAACTTTCATTTACTATTATGGATATTTTTAAGTTAATATTGTTTGCCGGGACCATTTGTGAGTTGCAGACATCCTAACAACTCACCCTTAAAGATTTCAGCATGCATTTTCTAAGAACTAGGAACGTTCAACCTTATAACCACGGTGCAATGGTCACACACAGAAGTTTAACTTGATATGCTATTATATAAAACCTATATATGCAAGTTTCCCAAATTGTTTCAGTAATGGTCTTTATAGCTCTTTTTATTTATTTCTTCATTTGTTTATTTAAGTACTCTCTACACCCAATGTGGGGCTTGAACTCATGACCCCGAGATCAAGAGTTAACATGCTCTTACAATTGAACCAGCCAGGTTTATAGCTCTTTTTGGTTTCAAGATTCAGTTAAGGATCATACATTGCATTTAGGTGTCATGTCTTTTGACTAGAAGAGTTTCCTAGCTTTAAAAAAAATTTTTTTTATAACAATGGCATTTTTGAAAAATACAGGCCAGTTGTTTTGCAGATTTCTCAGTTTGTCTGATGTTTCCTCATGATTAGCTCAGATTAGACATTTTTTAGCAGGAATGCTACCCACATGATATTTTATCTTTCTGAGTTCATTTTATCAGGAGGTACAAGAACTCTCTTGTCCCATTATTATGTTAAGATAAATCATTTATTAAGATGCTACCACCATTCTCTGTTATGAAGGTACTTCTTCCCCTTTGTAATTAATATAGAATCTGTGGGATGATACTTTGAGACTGTATGAAAAAAATATCCGTTTCCCAACAGTCTTTTGTCCAATGGATTTAACATCCATTGACAGTTTTTTCCTAAATTAGTTATTACCATGGTTGTGAAAAAATTGGTAATTTTTGTAATAATATCTTTCCTTCTACATTTACTAGATGCTTCTTTTCTATAATTAAGAGCTCTTGTTTGTCTTTCCTCCTTTGTTAATTTTTTTTTAATTGTAAGCATGGACTCAGGTTCTTTAGTGGTTTTATAGCAGATTAATTTAGCAAATTATTAACCCTTGTTATTTTAATAAAAAATGTTTTTCCATATTTTCTCATTTGCAAAACTGCTCACTACTTAATAAAAACTGACTTTAGGATTCAAGACTGGAATATTAGTTTACTAAATTACTTTTAGTTTAAATATCTGATTTATTGCTCATTTATATACGGTTTAGAATAGTTCACTAAAACGTTTCGTATGTATCAGTGTATTTTTCCTCTGCTTGTCTATTTAGAAACCACATTCCTATAAATCCTACTCATTCTATATAGCACTTACATAGTTCTGTGTATACACACAGAAGGTGTTTTCAGGAAATACTTTATTTTATCCAATCAGCTACCTCAGTTTACCTTTGTTGTCCACAAAACATCATGCCTAAATACAATTTTAAGAATTTCTTCTAGTTTTAGGAATTTATAACATTTTAACTGTAGTTTTCTTTGCCAGTCTTCCAATCTTTATGTATCCAGTCCAAAACAAAATCTTTTTTAAAGCTAGCTTTTAAATTATAGAAGTAATAGATATTTATGATTTTAAAAAACTAAAGCAGTGTAGGTAGGTGCAAAATGAAAAGTAAAAGTCTTACTCCTTCTGAGATCCTTTGACATTTATGTACTTGCTTAATCTAGAAAGATAGCCCTGTGGGGAATTCTTTTGTAGTGTCTTCATTTGGTTTGTCCATTCATTACAACTTAGGTTTATTGGTTTTTTAGTTAGGTATATCATATTATCAGGTTTTCTTAAAATGAGAATATATCTGATTTCTCTCTTTTAATGAAATATACAGGTGATTCAACTCTTCAGTGTTTTTTTTTTTTTTTATTGTTTTCAGTTAGCAAAACATGGAATGAAGATTGTCCTTATCAGCAGATCACAAGATAAACTGAACCAAGTTTCTAGTGAAATAAGTAAGTTTCTCCTTACACCCTCTCCTGCTTTCATGTTTACAAAAGGAATACAGTAATCTAACTTGAATGTTTTCATGTAGGTATCTAGCACTGACATTTATTTATAGCTCAGAAAGCTTTTTTCTTATGTTGTTGAAGGGATGTTTTAAAATGGGGTCATCAGTTTTTTTCAAATTCATATGAGACTGTTAAAATTTCCTTAAAACGTGTTTTACTGACTCAATTAGTTGCTGTTAGGAATCAGAATCTCTGAGTATTTTATCATGTTCTACTTAAATACCTGAATTCTTTTTCTGTTGCTTTATTTCAGTATTCTTGTGCTTTTTTTTTTTACTCTTTGACATTGTTATCTCTAATGTATATCATATATAATTGAAGAAAAATATAAAAGGCAGCCTATCTACATATGGGAAGGAATTTTTGGAGCTTTCTTCTTAGCCAGCTATGCTTAAGACCTGAATTACCATATAGCAAAGATTCTGAACTGACGTTTAATTAACCAAGCAGGTGGATTAAGCCGTACTGTCCGTTTCCTTGGGAGAACATACTGACTGGTGTTCCCAGTGTGCTGTTTGTAGCCCATAGGCTTCTCAGTGTGATGCTGGTGCACTTTTACCCCCACAAGTCAAATTACTTGCTTTAAGAGTCAGCTGAGTTTGTCCACAAACTATGCAGAGCACATTTATTATTTAATGTTCTGCAAACTGATGCAATATTTGTATTAAAAAGAGGAGTTGTTTCTACGAAAACTAATTTGAATGCTGTGAAAAATAGTGAGAAAAGAGAGTTCTTTCCAAAATTACCTGTCAAATTAGCAGTGAACAAGACAAATGCAAAATAATGGCGGAAAATGATAAAAAGTAAGAAATTTGCTCTCCGATTGTTTCATATGTGTTGAAATTTTTGCTGCACTTTAAAGGAACTGAAAACTGCAGTCATAAATGATGCATTACCAGCATGGGTTCTGCAGGAAAGACTGGAATACCAGTCAGCAGATCTCAGTTCAGATGTAAGGCAGGGGTCCTACACAGAGAATGGGTGAATGAATTACATTTATACACAGTTTAAATGAAATAAAATGGTTACATGTATATTTATCATTCTCTAGGATTCCTGCTTTAACTAACTTCTGTGAGTAGCCAACTAACAAACTGGTCCAGTTCTTTCAGATGAGAGAGGCATTCTGCTGTATTTTTTTTTTTTCAGCTTTATTGAGATAATTGACGTAAAACATTATGTGTAAGTATGTTAAATCTTTTTTTTTTTTTTAATCTTTTTGTTTGTTTGTTTGTTTTAAACCTTGCTGGGAGCACAGATCTTTACATCTTTGGCATCTAAGGATTTTAACTTTGAAGGTTTGAACTATGTAAACACAACCCTGAAGGTCCAAGGCATACAGTATTTTGCGGTTTTGCTAAGGTGTGAATTTGAAGTAAGCCATGATACTAATGAGCCAGAGGCAGTTAATTTAGGTAGTAGTTGAACTTAACATATTGCCTAGATCTTAATACTGTTTCTCTCTTAGTTACTTGTGATCATGTATATACTTAACTCTTGTAGTGATAAAAATGTGTTTGTGCATGTGTGTGGGTAAAATTGGCTGCTAATGAAAGCATCTACTGGATGCTGGAAGTAAAGGTTCATAGGTGGAAAATAGAACCTTCGATTAAAGGGCATGTTGAATTTTGAAATGCTGTGATCTGAATGAATCCATCATCTACTTGAAACAAGTAAAAGCTACCTCATGACAGTCTTTTAGAAAGTGCTCCAGCCTGTACAAGAATTGCTCAATGAGTCAGAAGTATACTTTAATGATATTTGGGAATTTATCAACTTGTGATATGAGGTGACATGTGACTGAGGTCAGAGATGTGGTTCTGGATAAAGACAGGATCCTGTTCAAACATTCTCATGAAGGGACAGATGGTGACACACTGAATTGACCTTTATTATGTTTTTCTAGGCATCATATAAGTTAATGAAAGCAGTGGTATCAGCAGACCAGGTCGTCCGTTCTAAGCTGAAGAAATACAAAGAGGAGATTATAGATGCCTGTGCTAGTTTTTAACTCACGTGTAAATCTTCTCTTTGGGAGGATAGTGTTTTTGTGAACATATCTATTCCATGAGAAAGGAGGACCAGAATTTAATGTGGACAAAGACCAACTATTTATGCCTTCAACACATCCTTATTGAATGCCAATGCACCAGATACTGTGCTAGGCAGTCAGCAGAGAGTGGTGAACATGATAGAGACAGCCCTGCTTTCATGGAACTTATGTGCTAGAGGGGGAGACAGAGGAAAAAAAATAGGTAAAAAAGCGAATAAACCAAAACAAACCAGACAAATAAATTAAATACTTGGAGTTTGTAATAGTGCCATAGAAGAAACCAAGGGGAGAAAATGGAGAGGTTCTTACCTTTGTAGCAACGTGGTGAATTCTGTGACTGATGGGGTGTTAAAGGGCCAGACTAATAACCTTTTGCCCATATAATGGCACTTCAGTTATGAAGCTGGAGCCTTAGTGAACAGAGAATCCACTGGGCCCTCTTACAGAGTATCATGGTGGATGGGTTGTATGTGCAAGTTGCACATGATAATTCCACTCCAACATACCTGTTTTCTTAAGCCATTGGGTTTCTGCCTCGGCATTATGACGGGGCAGTTGCAGCTTCCCAGTCTTACTAAATGGAGGGCTGTCATGGGTCCAAGTTTCAATCAGCCAGCAAAATTAACTCTTAGAGCCCCTTCTAGTTGTACATGATAACCATTAAATCTCTGGTAAGTGATTTGTTTTTTAAAAAATATCCCAATCTGGCATTATATTATGTTTTCCTTGATCTAACACTCTTAGAATCATTCTCACACAGATTTCCTAGGTATCTACCAACACAAATGAGCCAACTTTTGCAATTATTTTTGTGTATAAGTTATTACTTTATGGACCAGACTTTATACTTACTCCCCAAAGAATGCTGTGAGTTTACCCTGTTATGAGTAACAGTAGAGATCTTGATCGTGAGGAGAAGAGGAATTCTTCTGCAAGGAAACTGCCCTTAGAGTTATTGTGACGTAAGCGCAGGTTCTTCAACCCAGGGGAAAGGTAATCTCTTCAGACACAGGAGAGCAGGCTTTTTCTATTTCCACTGGCAAGGGAGGCTCAGAATAGCTTGGGGGTTCAAGATCCTTGGCTTCAGCTGAGTTCACCCAGATAATCCCCATCCCAAGTCTTGCTCAGTGCTTTCACTTTCATGCATGAGACATGGTGAGTCTGTGGAGGTCAGCTTGCGTTGTAATTGTGCAACTGGCACAGTTAAATCTGATGTGAGCAAGGTGAGCTCTGTGGCTGTAAGACATCAAGGTTTTTATTCGGGCTGCCATTGAAGTTCTCTGGTTCTCTGTTCATAGATGGGAGCTGAACGTTTAAAGACCCAAGCTTGTCATTTTCTTTCAGTGAGTGCTTCAGTGCATTCAGAAACCATGCCATACCACAATCTTTGTACTCATTTCTGCCCAACTCAAATGTGACAGCCCCTTGGTCCCTTAAGGCATTTCTTCAACGGATACTTTGTTATAATCCATAGCCAGCATTAATTTGATTAATGGTGATGTGGCATTATGGATCAAATCAAACCAATACCAAAGTCCTTTGAAGTCTGTTTTTGGGGATCCCACTCCTGATACCATTTCTGCATCTGTCTGACTTCAATCAGGAAACCTAAGTCAAGCAAGTTAGTTTAACTAGGCTAACTTGTCTCGTCTAGTCCAACTCTTACATTCACTCCAGGAGGTTAAACTCATCCTCCTTCCCTATGTGATTGAAAGAAGAAAAGAGGAAAGGAGGAGATTGAAAAAGAAACCACGTACCAATTGAGAAAAATTAGGGACCTCTTCTGGGCTCTTATCACCTTCTGACTCTCCACTGTTGTAAACTTGGGGATTCTGTTTCTTTAAAAAAAAATAATAATTTTTTTTACATTTATTTATTTTTGATAGAGAGAGACAGAGCACAAGTGGGGGAGGGGCAGAGAGAGAAGGAGACACAGAATCTGAAGCAGGCTCCAGGCTCCAAGCTGTCAGCACAGAGCACGATGTGGGGCCTGAACTCACAAACCGCGAGCTCATGACCTGAGCTGAAGTTGGATGCTCAACCGACTGAGCCACCCAGGCGCCCCTGGGATTCCGTTTCTTTAGAAGCAATTCCTTGTGAGTGTGGAGGACAACCTACGTATCAGAGTTGTTCAGAAAAAATTTTCAAAGGGTTATATATAATTTAGTAGGGAACTAAATGTTTTGCCAACAATGGGTAAATGCTTTCTCAGGATCTACTGCTTAAATGAAATTACACTTCTTTGTAAGGATACCTGTCACCCGTTGAATTAATACAGGCTGAGAGTCAACACATATATAATAAACTTATTTTGTTATCTTTGTTGGCCAGGATTATTAACATATTCAGTATTTTTGTCAAGTTTGATTTGTCCAAGAAAAAAAACCTCCTAATTTTTGAGCTCTGAGGTAATTTTTATTTGCAGTAAAGCACAATGCAAAGAAGACTAGCTTTCAGAACAACCTAGTGGCTCACAGAATAAAGAGATGGTGATATTTACAGTTCCTATTCTTATGTGGCAGTTGGTAATTCTGATTGTGTACAGTTTAATCAGCTTCAGGTTTTAAAAACCACACATCTCTGTTTTTGATTAAAAAAAACCAGATACGGTGTTTCTCTTTTTTTTTTGTTAACTTATGTCAGGGTGCAAAGCTTTGGGATTGCCATGTAATTCCATGATCTCTTGAAATGTAAACCTTTTAGAAATGTAAATCTTACTGGTCTGTAGTCACAGAGGAATAGGGTAAGGTAAAAAAAAAATATATATCAGTTTCACTTTTTCGTATCTTACCTATGATCAAATCTGTATAGTTAAGTGTAGATTTCACCAAATGTTTGTTTCACAATTTCTTGATGTACTAGCAGTACTATTAATATGATGCTTTGTTAT